ATGGAGAAGGAAGGCTTAAAAGAGGGCTTTCAAACAAAGATGGATTCCCTTTAGAAAAGTCTAAGAGAACCTGGGCATTAGAAATTCTAGGACTGGCAGTTGCTTTTATTGTAAAAGTCACTGGAGGGCTCAAGTATGACTTAAAGAGGTTTGTTGGGACAGAGCAAATGTCTGGGACATGGAGGAAACATGGAAACTCCAGATCCTCCAGGCCCACATGAGAACAGGAAATGCCAAGGTCTTCAGAAAATGCAGGCATTCATTTTGGCTGAGTGGGAATAGCTGGGCTCCCTGAGTGGGAGCAGCTGGGCATTGTGCTCCCCTAAGGATGCCATTGTTTTTCAGACCCTCCTAATGCAAGGTAATAGGACATCTGTCTACGGTTCCATTTCCCCTTAGTCTCTGCTGCTCATCACACTAGCAGGTGCCATTTGGCTGTAGCCAGCAACATTATATTCTCTGTGATCAAAGGAGTCGGTGACAAAAGCAGAATTTATTGCAGGGGAATAGATCTCCAAACAGGGCCCAGGACTAACCTTGGACGAGCTGCTGCCACATCCTGCAATTCAGTACTGTCAAACACCCCATCCCTCTTCCCAAAATACAAACCACTCTCTTGAAAACATGGTGTTTAGGTGGAAAGGATTCACATTCATCCCTGTACACAGGGGCAACCCTGATGGGAGGGGAGCAGACCCCTGTACCACCCTGCCCTGGGGTTGTATGGCACGTGCGCGCTGAGCTCTCTGAGCTTACCTGCATGTCCACACAGCTCTTGCTGGAGCTCTCCATGTGCCCTGAGCTTACCAGGTGATTGGCACAGACTCTGGCTGGAGCCCCCACTTTCACACAGCTCCAAAGAAGGCCTCCCCACTGCCGAAATCAACAGCAGGGGAAAAGAGGGGATCCGTGAGGGCAGTGCTCACCCTCTGGGCTCTGGAGCTGCATGCAAGCTGGGCTCTGAACAGAGCCAGAGCCAACCAGTTGGTGAGCTTAAAGCTCATGGTACCTGTGAAGCTCTGGCAAGAGCAGTGCTGACATGTCAGTGAGCTCAGAGAAACATCCAGAATCACAGCAGAGCATGTCCAATAGGCTAGCAAGTTCTAGGACAGTGGAAATTAAATAAGACAACTCACTCAAACAATAATAAGCTTACTGGATTACAGGTTCAGTCAAAGGGCAGGCAGAAGAAGGGGAAGGAGGCTTTGGAGCTATCTGAAGTCAAATCACAGATTGTTCAGCTCTACAGTGATGCTTCTGATCCATATGCCCTATCTCTACCACACTTACACTGCAAGAACAAACAGCAGCTATTCACTTTGCAGGTAGCCACCATGGGCCACAACATGGTTTGGGACTAGCAGAAAGGCCACAAATTAAAACACAACCTTAGTATGGGGCTCTCTGAAAGCATCCCAGTTAGATCCCTAGTCAAGCCAACCTGTCACACTCTGCTATTCTGGGTAGTAAGATAAAGTCTTTGTCCCAACGTGCACGGGTGATATGGTTGGAGATGCACAATATACACACATAAGTGGAACTGATTGGTGCTTTTCTCTAAGAACTGAAGATGCACAATAACTACCAGGAGAAGACTAAGACTATGGTTGGTCCTATTTCTGCAAGATGTAAACTACCGTGGAAGTCTGTTATGTGAATATATTGGGGCCATATACTATTTGTACTTCTGTAACTAACTCAAGGGAGGAAGTAAACATCAAACAATATTTGCAATGGATTTCCCCTTTGAAAGCATGCTTTACTGAGAATGAATTTACAGAACTATATCAGATCTTACTAGACCTTAAACGCTGGAGGCTGCAAGTGAGAGGAATAATAGAAAAAAACCTTGGCCGTACCCTGTTCACTCTCCCTTTCAGCATCCACTCTCTGCTA